AAAAAAGTGATAAAAACACTATCATAGTTGACAATAATATACAAATAAATAACATGTCGAAATTTTAAAGAATAACTATAATTTTATTATATAACCATCAATAAAATCATTTAATGATGTGATCATTATCTTAAATAATAAATAATATTAATTTTTTTAAAAAAATATTAGTGTTATACAATTAAATAAAGGTTAAAAAATATTACTCGACAAATATTAATTATAATGGATATCAGTAAAATCATTGCATAAATTATTTAAGGACAAAATCTTGAAGATCATATTTGGATAGTAAATGTAAATATGCAAGCATTTAATGAATATAGTAAAAAATTTCCAAATAAAGTATGCATTAAATGTGTGTTAACTTTTCTTGCTACTGTTTTTGGTAAATATGTTGCCTTTTAATATATAGATATAGATATGACATAAAGTCTCATCCTATTACTCACAACTAATGTGATAGGGTGATTACCTGTGTGATAAGCGTAATCAACAGTTTAGTGACATCTTTACTCATGCTATGCAACATATGCTAAAGAACATATCAAAGAAAAACAAATTTCATATATGATAGTGATAGTAGATGATTTAATTTTATTATAAAAAAGAAAAAGAAATTTATTGATTAATATTATATATATGTAATATGGATATAAAATCAAATTACGTCAAAAGATGATTAATGTAATAGTCAAAAGATGATTAATGTAATATGTATATACAAAAATATGATAACAAATAAAAGGCTATTAACTTTCAAATATATTTTATTCTAAGTATGTTAAATAGTTTATAATTTTAAAAAGCGTAATAGATATTGGTAGACTCGAGATCTACATGGGCTAAATTCTTAACTAAATTTTAATAATCTAATAGAGGAAAGAGGTTTTAAATCATTCTTACAAACTCATATTAACTTTTTATATTTAAAATGACACTTATCACTTGATAGTATTTTTAATATTTGTTTTTCAATTTTTCTAGTATAATAACTTTATTTAAGTCATATTATATAATAAATAGATAAATTTATTTAATTGATAAATAAATTTATTATTTGTCAATTAATATGGATATATAATTTAATTTGTATTTAAGAGATACGTATACATATATATATATATATATATATATATATATATATATATATATATATGAAATATAGATGTCAAATCAAAGCTCGTTATGAGACGATTAATTTGATATATGATAAATAAAAATATGTTATTAAATACAAAAGTTATTAACTTTTAAAATATATTTGTAACTTAAGTTGGTCAAGGATTTTTAATTTTAAAGGCATGGTAGAAGACCGGATATACTAATACTACTCCAAAATAAAGATATTACGAATTACAAGAATTCGACACATATGATTACAAAGCATAAGAAATCAATATTTAGGACCAGAACATTTTGCACTAATAGTGTTGAGGGGGATATCAATATTTAGGAGTGTATTCATTTGATTGTTGGGTTACATTTTATTATTTTTTAAAATTCAAGACTTTTTAAAGTTTGTGATTTATAGTGGAATTCTTATGGGCGAGTCTCGGCACTTGCCCGTTGTCGGTGGCCTCAGCAGTGTTGCGAGCATCACCGGGCGACAGTTGGTGGCCTGGGCGAAGTGCGCGGGCGATGTTCGACAACAGCATGGGGTTTTTTTTCCTTCGGCAAACAAATACTTGTAGCTTAACACAATAACTATGTAACTATTGAAATATTAATAGTTACTAGTACAACGTCCGTGTATTACACGGGTGCTTGTTAATTTTTTCCTTAAAATCTAAAATTATTGAGAAAAAGTAGTTGAAAATTTAAATAATTTTTATAAAAATATATATTATTATATATCTAGTATGACACTTTTTATTTGTGTGACTTACTTGTGTTATATTATAATAATTTTTTTAACTTACAACATATAACAACATTAAACAAAAACATATCAACTGAGAAATAATTTTATTTTTCTAATAAAATTTAATAAATATTAGTTTTTATTATTATAAAAGTAAATATTATTTGTTTATTTTACATATACAATATGGATGTCAAATCGAAGATAATGAAAAGATGATTAATTTGATATATTATATGTAAAACCGATAAGAAATACAAAAGTTATCAACTTTTAAAATACATTTATAATTCAATAGCTAATTGAAGGAAACAAATTAAAAGTCAGGAATATATTAGTCACTTAGTGTCTCACTATGTAAAATTACAAAGAATTAAAGAGTTATATTAGTACAAGTGATATAAAATACCTAAGTTAGCTAAATAATATTTATGGAATGTCCGAACCTAGATTAATTATTAATATATCAATATTATTTGTCCGAACCTAATTACAAAGCATGATTCTTCGCCAAGTAGGATTCCGAAGCACCAGAAGCAGCCACGTAGGCTCAGCGCATTCGGGAATTATATATAGCGGCGATTATGAACATGGTTTGAAACAGAAAACATATATCAGAGAGGCTATATGCAATTTGAAACCATGTTTTTATGCAATTGAACGAAACTACAGGGCCATTTTCTCAAAATTAACCCTGTTAAATTCTTGAAATAACTTGCATATCTGTACCCATGTAATGAAATCATGCACAGGAGTGTTCCTTTCAGTAACAAGCCGACGAAAATGAAGAAATATATGCATTGTTACTGAACAGACCAAAATATAGCTATATGGGACATCACTTTATGAGTACTAGGTGGTCGAAGTGATCTCTATAATTTATGTTCCCCTGAATTTCGATGCACAAAATGAAGCTGAAATTATAAAAGCATTTAAGGTTTTATTCTTATTCCCTGTTTCTATCTTTCGGTAGACAAAAATCGTAATCATAACAACTATAAAAAGAAAAAGATTGAATGTTAAACCAGGCATAATTTAAAGGTCTGTGGCCAAATGGAATGACAATAAATAGTTGAGAGAATTAATAAACCCGTGACTTATTTTCGTAGAGAGACAAAAATGGAAATTTTAATCTTCCCCTCATGTTCGACAGTATGCTGAATAACATTGAAGCGTCAGATCACAGATAAATTGTTACCCACACTATCTAATGTTTTTTGCTCTATAATATGTAAAAATAATTATAATTCTTCTATAGCAGAGGCTCGATTACCTTGGACTCGACTCTTGGTAGAAATCGGCAAACTCTCGTTTTGAATTGCTCAGCAGCCAATTAATTTGGAAAAACAAATAATAAGGGTCCATAAAATTACATCTGGTCTGTATACACTGCATCAACATCATCAAGCTCAAGCAGTTTGGCCATCAATTCCTTGTTCAAGTCCATAGCCTCATCATCAACCTGCATGCACAGGCAAATAATAATAATAATAATAATAATAATAATAATAATAATAATAATAATAATAATAATGAGCACAATTTTACGCTAAAGCTCGGCCATTGTTCAAACATATACATATAAAACCCTGATGTAAGTGTTTATTTTACAAATTGGGCAGGCCACAAAAGGGTTTTACTTTTTAATTTCAGAAAGATAATTGGGATATTGTATTCAAGTTAAATTAAACCCCAGGGATAATTTTGCTAATTTGATCCCACCCGAAAACACATAAGCAACTTTGTTATTAGTTGACACCACAATCTGGGAGCTCTTTGTTATTAGTAGGAAGCTCAAACTTGTGGGGATTAGTAGCATATGACACTTAATGGTCAGCTGTAAGAAGATAAATAATACAAATCCAGTTGCCAATATATTGGCATACCTCGATGGGTGATAAGGGAAGAAGCTCGAACCCATTATCAGTTTCAAATGTTATTCCCTCCTCCCGCAGTTTCGACAATACGTCAGTGTAGTTTTCCAGCGAACTCACTATTTTGTAGTGCCTATCACCAAAACAACATGATAGATCAAAAAAACCTGAAGTGTGGAGCACATTTGGTTATTTTACATGGATAAGATAATGTTATTTAAAGGTATAAAACTTCAATGGCAAACTATTACAAGACAGCTTGACAGTGATCGTCATTTGTATATATTCATCATATTAAGAATGTACATGTCACCTTTCACAAACTACCGTAGCTTGGTTAAGTATCCCACCCCAACCCACCCCTCAAAAGAAATTTAATTAAAAAAAATAAAGCGATGGTTGACAGTTGCAAATAATATCGATAACATTACATCAGCCTCGCATTTTTCATCAGACATCGATGGGGCTAATGGAATATATTGAGATATTATTTAAATATGTTTATAATGACATCCCTCAACTTTTCTCAACACTACAATCCCTACTAGCATTTACAAACCTCGTATTTTCTAAATAACAAAAAATAAGCTTATTGACAAAGTGGAGCTATTTCATGTTAGCAATATTTTGAAGAAATCAGGCGAAAAATATTTTGTGGTTTCAGTAAATATTTCATGTCAATTAACGGAGGGGTTAAAACGTAAAATAAGAACTGGAAAGAAGTATGGAATAATTTAGAAGATGCCAACAAAAGAAATGACATTCGGGCCAAATAAAAAGGATGTGTTTCATATATACCTTTCCGAATCTTCTTCCATATCATCTTCATCAATCAAGGGGTCAATGACATCATCTGCACCAGAGTCTAGAGCAATAGCAAGAAGTTTATCTTTGTCGACATTTTTAGCATTTATATTCACAACACGAGCACGTCTGAACTTGAACATGATCGAGCCAGAATCCGCCATTTTCCCTCCATAGTCCTTCACAACCTCCCTAATAGCCGCCACCGATCTGTTCACTTTATCTGTTAACACCTGAACAATCATTCCAGCTCCGCCATAGCCATAAACCTGCGAATTCAAATAATGATATATATACTTTTCACATGTTTGGAAGGTGTTGCAAACACTGTGTTAAAAAAAAAAAAAAGAGTTACAAAGAAATACAAATTGGACTCATTCATATTTTACCAACTTTCCATTCTCAATAAATTTCTACTTCTGCTACTATAATCTCTTCAAAACTCATTCTCAAATGAATACATATATAGCAAATACTATAATCAATCCTAATACCTCGTAAAATTTTTCAATGTAGGCTTCTTGACCCTTCTCTGAAGCTCTCTTGATGTTTCTGTCTATAATATCCCGGGGTATATCAAGCTCCTTTGCTTTTTCAAACAAAGCAGCTAATGCTGTATTAGATATCGGACTTGAGCCACCTTTTTTAACCCTAAGATAACCACAAAATACCCAGTCAAGACCAGTGGGACTGATATTGAAAACAGTTAAAACTTCAGTAAGGCAAATAAATACACCAACGTAGCACAGGAAATTGAGAATATAATGTTGTTACACAATCCACATTTCTTTTTTCATGGACAAAAAATGGCCACATTGCTTTGGATGGTTTTGTATGAGTTTCTGACGCCAATACGAGGATCAATAGTGTTACCACTTCCCCAGTCATAACCTTTTTTTTTTTCCCTTTTTTAAAAGGAGGATCAATAGTGTTCTCACTTCCCCTCCTCGGTGACTCGAACCCATGACCCTTAGTATTCATAACCTTGTCCAAGTACAAGTTATCATATACGTCATAAATTTCACTATATAGCATCGCCAAATAAGTCAAAGCCTAACTTACGCGGATACAACTTCTTTTCCAAATCGTGCATATAGTTTTGCTTTCTTAGCATCCTGGGCTGTCTGCATAAAAGAAGTTGATTGAAACCATGAAAAAACAAACTATTTTAGGTACATAATATAAAAAGAACTCATTCCTCATATAATTTGTGATTCATGATCTTCTTTTGTTTTTTTTTTTTTTTT